TGTCCTGGGAAGGCGTCTGTCGCACTCGCGCAGGATCTCGACCCATTTGCGCGCCGGCGCAAGAGCGAGAGGGGCATCCAAGTCCGAGAGGGAACCGAAATCCCCAGTTCCACGCGCCGGTTTGCCCTGTCGAGAAGGAGGTCGAACCTCAAGATCATGCTCCGCATGTCCTCGTCGCGGCTGGGCGTGGACTTTAAGAGGTCCAGCCCTGCGCGGAGCATGTGCGCCTCTGGGTCGGGGGTGAACTTAGCCAGCAGCGCTGCCAAGAGGACGTCGACGCCCGACCTCGCCACGGCGCCCCGGCAGTCTCCGAGGTCCACCGCGGCGCCGTGCTGCAGGATCTCCACCGCGACCTCGTCGGCGATGGTCCGCGCAGTCGTGCCGAGGGCGAAGCTGAGCGTCGGCCCCTAGCGCTCGAAACTCAGCTTGGTGGCGGCCGTCCACCTCCGGACGTCCCGCGTCCATTCTGCGATGGTGTACGGGTACGCCGCGTGGCGCTCTAGTTCTGGGCTCCACCACGGCGGTGTCTCAGTAGACGCCACGGCGGTGCCCTGTCTGTAATGGTGGGGAGCTGCGCCGAAGATGTGCGGCTGGCGCCACGCAAGCGCGCTGCTGCCACCACTGCCGCTTCCTGCCGCCACGGTCGTCGCCGTAAGTCGTCGGCCGGGTTGCCTGGCGGAGGCGTTGGGCTGCGCCTGCGTGGGGACGTCAGCGTGCGCCTCGGCGGCGGCTCCGGCGACTCCGGCTCCGAGCCAGACTGCTGGTCAGGCGACCAATACGGCTGAAACTGTTCGTCCACTTGTGGCTGCTCCTCCTCCCCCCCCTCCTCCTCGGTCTTGAAGACCAAGGGAGAACCGCCGCGAAGTCGCATTGACCTGCGGCAAGTCTCGGCGTGAGGCTCCCACGGTGGACGCGAGCAGGTGCGAGTCGCCCTCTCGTGTTCCACCTCAAGCCGCCGGGCCGCTCGACGCGTCCCGCTTTCCAACGAGTGCGTGTGCGTCCGGCGCCTCTTGCCTGCTTTCGCAGGCCTGCAAGGGGTAGTCGTCGTAGGCGCAGCGGTAGCCGTACTCCCTGTGCCGGGGGCGCTTGTCAATGCTCGCCCAGCCTGGCCGCAGAGCGCCGAAGCGCTCCGCTACCAGAGTGGAAGCTCCAGTCAGCGCTTCTGGTGAAGAACTCCAGGAAGATCTTCAGGAAGAAGGGGATGAAGAACAAGAGTGGGAATAATAACCATCAAGAATGGGATGGAAGTAAGATGTGACAGAACAAAGGTTTTGCAGCATGCTTTGCTACACTCCTCTGGCGAAGAGCGGTTTGCCTCGCGAGCTCAATGGCGACGGAGGCGCGCGCGGGGGGGGGGGCAAGCTAGGCACTGAAGGGGCGGGGGGTGCAGATCCCCCGAACCACTCAGAGGCCCCAAAAGAGGCCCTCAGAGGGTCCCCAAGAGGCCCCAAAAAGGTCTCGCCCGTGGACTTCAGCACTCTCCGGAGGGTCGGCGGAATGGCGAAAGCCTCCTGAATGAAGGCGGGGGGAGGGGGGGAGGAGGGAGGGTGGAGAGGAGGAGGAGGAGGAGGAGGAAGAGGAGGAGGAGGAGGAGGAGGAGGAGGACGACGACGACGAGGAGGAGGAGGAAAAAGGGGAGGAGGAGGAGGAGGAGGAGGCGGAGGAGGAGAAGAAGGAGGAGGAGGAGAAGGAGGAGGAAGAGGAGGAGGGGCAGAAGAGGAAGAAGAGGATCTGAAATTAGTGGGCCTTCAACGCCGTCAACGGGCCTAGTTTCATGGCGGCAGCACCCTGGCAAGCACAGTGGTCCGGCTTATACGCAGAACAGGCGGTGAAGAGGAAGAGAAGCAGGCTTCCATTCCCTCTGCCAGGGGGCCTGCGCGACTGGGAGGCAGCACTGAACTGTATGGGGTGCGGGGGGGCTTCTCGTGGCTTCGGTTAGCCCATCTGTGTCGGCATCGCGCCCGCCATTTGCTTGCAATGCTGTTGCGCTCCACTCACGATTCGCGTCGTCGCCGTCTGGGAAAGTAGACATTTCTGAGCGTTCCGAGACGGCGCTGGCGCGAATCGTGACGTGACTGGCCCCCTCCCTCACCCTGCCCCCAAGCCACGCCGAAATCGCCAAGAGATAAAAGTACTCCGGCAGCGCACCCTAAGAGCAGCAAAGTTGAAGAGGCGGGACAAACATGAGAGCAGCTTGCTCACAGACCAGAGTTCCGCAACGAAACGTGACACGCGTATGAGATATAGGGATCCCCGCGTCGAGAAATTATCAATCAGACCGCGTCTGCTCTTCATCCCTCCTCCCCAACCTGCCTCCTTCTCCTCTTCCTCTCGCTCACACCCACACTCATTCATCGCACTCAGAGTCATTCACACTCAAATTCACTCGCACGCACACTCCGTCACATCATATCCTCCCTCTGACTCACTCATACTTAGACTCGCTCTGCCCTTCATGCAGACTGAGTCGCATCACTTCCCCACTCAGACTCACGCGTGCCCAAACTCGTTCAAACACACAGACTGTGAGGATGTCTCGAACGAAACGCTGATTTCAACACTCCAAAGGCGAGCCGTCAGGGGGTATTGCACGGGCCCGTTCACGCCAAGATCGTGGGGATGCCTCTAGCGTTTTTTTGTTTGGGTGTTCAAAGATGTCTCAAACGAGGCGTTGGCTTTAACACACCACACGGGGAGCCGCCAGGGGGTTTTCAACAGGCCAGTTCGCGCCCAGATCGTAGGGCTACTTGGATGTTGAATATCCTCTGCTGTCAAAGATGGATGAAAATATCTCAGGTGCGGCGCTGGCTTCAGCACCCCTAGGAGGAATTGCACGGGCCCGTTCGTGCCCAGATTGTGGAGATGTCTCGGACGGCTTGCGTTTTTGGGTGCCCGACATCCTTTGCTTCCACAGCAAATGATCAACATGTCTCATGATAGGCGCTGGCTCCAGCATTCCAAGTAAGGAGCCGCCAGGGGTGGGGACACTTCAGAATCGCGCCCACATCATGGGATGTCTCCACTGGTGTCGTTGTTTCTGTTCCCGCAGTTTCTTTTTGGACGTGTCTGCTCCCCACCCCAGCGCAGCACGCATTTACATTCAAACGTGCGCACGAGCACGTCTTCCTCACCCAGAAACATTAAGTACATTCAGACCCACTCATACTCAGGGTCACACATATTCAGACTCACGCGTACTTAGACCCATTCATATTCAGACACACTCGAACTCAAGTCCATGCACACCAAGAACAACGCACATTCAGACTCACTCAAGCTCTGAATCACCCGCCCTCCGACTGACTCATACTCAGACGTCATCGTATCCAGTCTCACTCATACTCAAAGCTAAACTCGTCATCGTCAACCTCAGACTCTCTCACACCCAGATCCACAGACACACTCAGACCCACTCGCACTCAGACTCACACCCAAGCTCACTCATACTCAGACCCACTCGTACTCCGACTCCTTGTGCTGACACTCGCCCACGCCCAGGTTCAATCATACCCGGATTCACTCGCACTCAGACCTCAGACCCACTCGCATTCATATCACCCACGCTCAGATGCACTCGCACCCAGGTTCACATACAAGTGGCTACCGCGAAATAGCACGCGTGGTACTTGGGCAACCCAACCGCCAGCAGGTGCCGCGAGTAGCACGCCGAAGAGCGCGCGGAGCAACGCCAAGCAGTCTTTCCCGAGTTGCCGAAGTGAGAACGGCAAGAGAAATTACCACATCGTTTCCCCATTTGCGTTTCTTCTACCTTTTATGAAAGATGCCCACAAGAGGAGGACGTCACTGAGGTCGTCGCGGTCGCCGTCGTCACCGTCGCGCCCATCGTCTACGCGGACTCGCACTCACACCCAGATGCTCACAGACAGAATTCCTCCGCGAGACGTGACAGGAGTTTTAGATGCACATATGGGTTCGACAGCCAACTCGCTGGTCGGCACATTGTCGCGGGACTCCGCCCCGGAGCCGCGAGCTCGGCCTCCTTGGACATCAACAGATACGGGCACGCTTTCCCCGTCGCTGGCCCAAGGGCCCTCGCGGAGCGATAAGACTGTCCTTGGATGATCGACAAGGTTGGAGGTTTGGATATGGGCACCAACACCAACACAAGGGGATGCCTCCACCAGGGGAAGGGGTAATTCTAGATTGTGGCGTTGGTGGTAATAATTCGCCCACCTAGAAAGCCTGACTATTACCACCATCGTCGAGATAAAGATGACCTTCCTTCGGCGGAGGCATACTGCTGATATGGGTGTTGGTGCCAACCCCCAGGCCTCCGGGAAGGGACGTTAACGACGCCCAATGCACCGTACCGTGCTCGGCTCTGATGGCAGGAAAAATGATGCACTGTACTATCCCTGAGTCGAGGGTAAGAGTCGCTTCGGGAGACGCCAATGCGGCATAGTGCACACAAATCGTCCGTGGATGTCCGGCAAGTTGTTGAAGTGTTGACCCTCTTGGGGCCTCCAGAAAAACTCAACATCGCGAATCCACGCGGCTCGAGATGTCGTGATTTGTTCCCGTCGGGTGTCGAGGGAGCCTCCTCCGTCTTCCATTCCATTTTCGATCCTCCTGGTCATCCAACCTCTATCCCCCTCATCCTGGCTCCTGACCGTTTTGCTCCTCCGCTCTCCTCCTCCTCCTCCATCATTCTCCTCCTCCTCCTCCTCCATCATTCTCCACACCTCCCCTGTCATTCTCCCCCATCCCCTATCCACCCCCTGTCTCCTCCCCGATCCCCGATCCTCCTCCGTGCTTTTCGTCCTCCTCCCTCCTCCTCCTCCTCCTCTCCTCTCCTCCTCCTCCTCCTCCTCCTCCTCCTCCTCCTCCTCCTCCTCTTCCTCCACCTCCTCCTCCTCCTCCTCCCTCCTCGTCCTCCTCCCCCCCTCCTCTCTCCTCCTCAGCCCCCGATCCCCCTCGCCCCCGTCCCCCCCACCCCCCCTCCTCCACCCTCCTCCTGCCTCGCCCGCTCTCCCCGGCGCCCGACTCGGCGGCGGGCTGAACTCGAAGTGGAGCAGGTCGTCCATGTGCTCGTCGGCCCCTGCGGAGGGGCAGAAGGCTGCGCGGCCGCGCACCGCACGCGCTCCAGATCTCACTGGCTCGCTCTCGTTCTCTCTCTCTCTCTCTCTCTCGCTCTCGCTCTATCTGTCTCGTTCCCTCTATCTCTCTCCCTCTCTCTCTCTGTGTCTCTGTCCCTCTCTCTCTCTCTCTCTCTCTCTGGTTCCCTCTCTCTCTCTCTCTGTCCATCTCTCTCTCTCTCTCCCCCTCCCTCTCTTGCGTTCCCTTTCTCTCTCTCTCTCACTCCTTCTCTCTGCCTCTCGTTCCCTCCATCTATCTCTCTCTCTCTCTGTCCCTCCCTATTCTCTCTCATCTCTCCCTTTCTCACTCTCCCTCTTCCAGTCTCTCCCCCTCTCTCTGCGAAGGAGAGCGATGCGTAGGCTGAAGGATCTCCGAAAGAGTACGCATGAATGGCGCACATCTCCTGATCTGTGGGCGTCGGCACGCGAACACGCCCACGCAGCTGGGCGTCCCCAACGGAATCGGCAACTGCACCAGCACACGAAAGGGCGGACTCTGCCTTGGAGAACGCGAGTTGGGGACTGTCGCCGCACGAGCGCGCGCCTGAACTGCTACACTCAAGGCGTACAATAACTGCCGCTGCTGCCGCTGCATGCTGCGCCATCCTGCATCTTCATAAAATATCGCGGGCACCTGGACCGTACTTCTGTCTGATCTGGGACATCATCTCGGTCAATTCTTCTTGCGTCGTGTTCGGGCTCAAACTCATCTTTAACTCGGGTTTTTCCTGGCCGCAGTCAAAAACTCCCGTGCTGCTAATCTGCCTGTCGGGCACCCCTTTGTCCGCTAGATCCAACCAGAGTCTACAACTGCTTCACGACAACATCAACGGCTGAACATCTGCATCAATGACTGCATACACTTTGGTACGTAGACACATGCGTGTCGCGGCTGTTGGTGTATATCTACACGTATAAGAACACGTGTGTCTACCCACACGAAAACGTACATATATCTACATACATGCATATCTACATACATGCAGACAGGCAAACATACATGCACACATCCCTACACGCGTACATCAATACGCACCTACATGCATACATACACACATGCCTGGAGCCATGCATGCATACATGTATATGTACGTACATGCATACAGCAACGCACACTTACATACGTACATACATACACATGCATGTATGCATACATACATCCATACATACATACATACATGCATGCATGCATGCATAACACATACATACATGTCCGTGAATGTAAATATATCCACACATCTACATAAACACACACACACGCACATATCACACACACGTACACACAAACATACATACGTACACACATGCATGTATCCGTACACACGCAGTCACATACACACATACACAAATATATAATTTATAAATATATATATATATATATACACAGACATACAGACTTAAATGCATACATGTGCGCATGCATATGTGTCTATGTACATACGTGCATGCATACAGACATAGCCACATAAATTTATGTGTCCATAGATACATCCATACCACCGACATACATGTGGAATATACAAATCTGTATATGCGTATATATATATACATATATCAGAGTGAAGGGGGCCGAACGGTCATTCGCTGTCCCTGGGTGCGTGGCTGAAGTGCAGATCCGTGGTGAGGATTCTGCTTGTTGTTGTTGTCGTCGTCCCCCGCGACCCAGCCCGCAACCCACCCGCGATCCACCTCGCGATCCACCTCGCGACCCACCCCGCGTCCAAACCACGACCCACCCGCGACCCACCCCGCGACCCGCTCGCGACCCACCCGCGACCCACCCGCGACCCACCCGCGACCCACCCGCGACCCGGCCCGCGACCCGGCCCGCGACCCACCCGCGACCCACCCGCGACCCACTTGCGATCCAACCCGCGACCCACCTACATTGCTTTAACAAAAGAATCGGCGCCTGCGGCGGGCTCGTTGTATAGCTTGAAAATGTTTGCGCCTGCGGCGGGCTTCTGCAAAGCCTCGCAGACTGCCGACGTCCCCGCCGCCCCCTCACTCTTATCCGCAACTGCGGGGTGCTATATACATGCATGCAAATATACATGCATGCATGACTGCATGTACATGCATGCATGCATGCATGCATACAGTCATACGTGCACGCATACAGACATACATACATACATACATACATACAGACAGACAGACAGACAGACAGACAGACAGACAGACAGACAGACAGACAGACAGACAGACAGACAACGCGCGCCCTTTGTGAGCATTGATGCTCTAGACGACGACAGTCGCGCGCTTCGCGCCCCAGAAATTCAACCTGTAGCGAACCCTACGTCATCCTGCTCGTACTGCTGTTTCTCCTTCTGCATCCTTTCCTCACTCTCCCGTTGCCCCTGAATCTAGTCGCATACCACGCTCTCTGTCCCCTCCGCCTCAGCCTGCTCCTGCACTTCCTGCTTGAATACTGCCGTCACCATACAACTTGTCGTGGCCTTTTCCTGGTTTGCATCCCTCTTCTTCCTCCGTCTCCTCGTTCTTCTCCTCCTCCCCCTCCTCCCTCGCGCGCCAGCCACTGGCCCCACGCAACAGCCAGTGGGAGAGAGAAGAGCGGAAGAGCAGGAGGGGACAGCTGCTCCGCGAGTGTGGCCGAGTCCTCTGGCGAACTCCAGCTGCAGAGCGCGGCCAACCGCACAATGACGACACACCACTTGGCGCAAGCACTCGCGAAGGCTGCATGCGAAGTAGAGCGTACATCGGGTCGGGCGAAAGGGGGGGTTAGCAAAGGGGGGGTTTGAGAATCAGCTCACGTAGCTGATTTTCCCGGCGCCTCCCGGCGCCGGAGGCGGCGATGTATCGAGGAATGGGCTCCTCGGTGAGGCCGAAACCAGCTGCATGCAGCTAATTTCGTAACCCCCCCTTTCCCAATCCCCTCCTTTCGCCCGGCCCGAGAAGTAGAGCGTACAGTGTACGACGTGCTGGTGCGCAGGCAGGGCCGGGGCAGGGCCTGCAGGACTTCGGCAGGGACCGACCACCCAGGGCTACCACGAGATGCTCATAGAACCGCAGAGCGCTCTCTGAGAACAAGAACACTGCTCTCAGAACATGAAGCCGATGTTTAAAACAAGATGGCCTCAGCCAGAAATGCTCTAAGAGCACTACGCGCAAACCACAAAAGGCTCTGAGAGCATCTGCTTGAAAGACGGGGGACCGCGGGCTGCAGGTCCGGCGCCGGCCATCCGAAGCTGTGAGCTGGCCCTCTCACGCAGCGGCCAAGACGCGCGCGCCTGGTCCCGCCGCGTGTCTGAGGCAGCCGCCACCGGTGCCTCTCGGGCACGCACCAGCGCGCCCTCCCAGCCCCAGACGGCCCTCGGCTCTATGGCACCACTGAATGGGCCCAAGGACCCACAAAGAAATACACAAATCCGAGAATTCCGCATATTTTCTGATTTTCCGGGGTTTTCGTCTTCCCCCCACTTCCCATCTTTTCCCACATTGTCTGGGGGATCGGCGATTAATTATATGTTTTTCCTCCTCCTGAACCATGAAGATCCTGGAGCACTCCGAAAACGCCTCGGACCCTCGATTCCAGATGCTCTCGCGCGCGCTCGTGGGGCGCCGCGGCCTCGTCGCGCGAATTTCTCGGTGGCCTCGGGTCCGCGATCGGGAAGCCAGATTCCCAGGCCCAAGATTTCTTCGTCGGGCCCTGGGGGCCACCTTGGGCCATCTTTGGGGCCGCTTGAACCCCCCTTGGAGGCCTCTCGGGCCATCTTTGGGGCCCAGGGGCCAGCCCAAGATTCCAAAGCAAACCAAGCGCGCACGGATCTTGCACAAGCGTTGCCCCCATCATCGCCTGTCGGCCTCACGGGCGGCACCGAGGAGGGGATATCCAAGGCTGCCCCCCCGAGGCCTCGCTGCAGGGCACCAAGAGGGTGCCCAGGCTGGCCCATGTCTGGGTCCCCAGCACAGCCCCGACAGTCCTCCAGGACACCCTCCAGCGGCCTTAACGAGGGCCCCCAACAGGTCCCCAAGAGAACCGCAGGAGAGCTCCCTATGAGGCCCCGACGCGGCGCCCTGGTGGGCTTCCAACGGCCCCCAGAAGAGACCCCCATCCCAGAAGGCGGTGTTTCCACCGTGTTCTGGCGAGCGTGCGAGTACGTTTTGTGGCACACAGTGGAGGCGAATTCACCGGAAACCTTCCGCAAGAAACCCAACCCTGAGACCCCAGGACGTAGATGTACTCTTGGTGTGGGAACGTCACGCTTCCCACGGCAAAGCCATCGAAGCCCAAGAAGCCCAGGGGCACCCTGGAGGCAAGCAGGGTGCTTCTTGGCATGGGCAGCCACTGTACAGTCCTTCCCGCTGCCCCCCCCACGCTTCACCCGGGCACGGCGGGGGGACCGGCAGAGGCCGCTGGATGTGTGCAATGTACCCTCCCCCCTTCGCGCAAACTGTTTTTCCGACCCTGACCTTCCAGAGAGCTATTTTTTAGCGCGGGAGGCCTAAAAACCTAAAAAACGAAACGAGACAGTCTAAAACCAAGACATAGAATAGCTCTGGGATAGGTTATTAAGTCGCGTGCTATTTTTTTGCCCTCCTGGAAGGTCAGGGTGTGTGCCATGTACCCCCCCCTTCGCGCAAACTGTTTTTCCGCGCTGTTGCAAATTCGCTGGCCCAACGGGCCAGAGGCTTGCTAAGATCTCTGGCAACTGGTCAACAATATGTCTAGTTCGCGCGCGGGGGGCGGCCCCTGGGGGTCCCCGGGCGAAAAGTACCCGGGGCAAGTCCCGGGAGGGTCCCGGGAGGGTCGGGTCAGAGATGCCGGACCGGGCAATTTTTCGACGCCCCTCACCAGGATCGTGGCCTCCGAGGGGGGGGCGCAATCGACTACCCCCCCTCCTGCCCCAAGAGGCCCCCAAGAGCCCCCCAAGAAGCCCTGGGGCCCCCAAGACGCCGCTAAGGAGCCCCAAGAGACTCCCACGAGGTCCCCAAGAGGCCCCCAAGAGGCCTTAAAGAGGGCTCCAGGGCCGGCGGAATGAGCGAAGCGATTAAGAATAAGCTGTTGCAATAGATAGTACTGATAGTAGTAATTATCATAAAAGCAATACGAATAATAATAGTAATGATACACATAGAAGAAGCTCCCAAAAGCCGGGTAAGACACATAATACATCATAATAACACATAGTAAATCATAATAACACATAATAATATAATACACATAGTGATAACATTACACATAATAAGTCATAATAAGAAGCTCGTCTCTCCCAGATCACAGACGCCGGGTAGACAAGGTCCGAATCGAAGATGCACCCAGGGAGAAATGCCCGAGACATTCTCCCCGTCGCCAGAAACGCTCGGGGTGAGGATGAGGACGCTCGTTTTTGGGTGATACGACGACGAGGAGGCACAGGACATGGGCAAGGTTTGGGAGGTGGAGCACAGCTGCGGCGGTCAGCACGCTTGCTTAACCTCGACAAAGGAGGAAGGGGAAGATCTCAGAAACACGCCCCAGAGGCAGCCCATGCTGGCCTCAGCAGGCCCCCAGCGGAATCCAGGGCAGTCCCGAAACCAAGCGATAAGAGTGCGCTCTGCGCCCTAGGCGCAACGCCCCAGGCTGCCATGCTGCCCTGGGGGCCGTTGAGGCCAGCCTGGGCTAATCCTGGAGGCAGCCTGTGCCCCACCCCGTGGTGTGCCAGTGCAGACAGTCGTCCTGCTCACAAGCGCTGCTGTCCCCAGTCTGCCCTCCAGGGCTTCTGTCTCGGAGGGGAGCTCAATGTTAGCTGGCGTGCGCCCCGTGCAGTGGATTATTGCATTGCGGAGGTGGCAGCTATGCGGAGCAAGCTATGTGGTGTGAGTTATGTCGAGAAAGCTATAGGGCGTGGACGATGGTGATGACAGTTATGCGCTGTAAGCTGTGATGTGTTGTGTAACATATGTCGTATAAGCTACGCGTTGTGAGCTGGAGTGTAAGGTATGTTGTGTAGCTTAAGTCTTTCAAACCATGTTGTGTGAGCTTTGGGGCGAACGATGGGGTCTAAGATATGCGGACTTAGCTTTATGTTGCCCCCACCGTACTTAAGGACCACATCCCATAAACAATTTCGAACACCTGGAAAAGTGTCGAAACAGTGTCGAACGAATGTCGTCTCCCAGGGCCCGACACGCGAAAACCCTCAAGTATAGGTATTTTCTTGGTGCTCGAAATTCTTTCTGGGGGTCAAGGATAAAGTACGTTAGAACATCATGAAACTAGCTATGTGGTGTAAGCAATGTTGTGTAAGACATGTGGTACAAGCTAGGTGTAGCTCGATGGTGTGAGCTGGAGGTGAAACACCTGCGGCCTAGTCAAGCTATATGGTGTAAGCCACGCTGTACCAGCTATGCGGTGCAGGCCGTGTGGTTTATGTTGTTCCCATCCTACTTAAGGACCACATCCCAGAAATAATTTCGAGCACCCGGAAAAGTGTCAAAAGAGTGTCGCAACAGTGTCGAAACATTGTCGGGCGAGTGTCTCCCAAAGCCCGACACGTGAAAACCCTTGAGTTTCGGTATTTCTTCGGGCGCTCGAAATTCTTTCGGGTGATCAGGGCTAAAATAGGTTGGAGCATCATAACGTGTGGTGCAAGCTCAGCGCACGGGGCGCCCACGAGCGGCCACGCGGTGGGACGGGCGGCAACGTGGCACAACCTCGGCATACCCCCCCCCGAAAGACCCCCCAGCGCATGGGGCGTCCACGCGGCTTGGCGGCGCGTGCCTTGGGTGTGGGGGCCCTCCTCCTCCCTCCTCCTCCTCCCCCTCCTCCTCCTCCTCCTCCTCCTCCCCTCCCTCCTCCTCCTCCTCCTCCTCCTCCTCCTCCTCCTCCTCCTCCTCCTCCTCCTCCTCCTCCTCGGGCAGGGGGGAAGGCTTCTTAGAAGGAGGCTGCTTCTTAGAAGGCGCGGGCCTTGCATCTACAGACAAGGCTTAAGTCGGGCGTGTCCCCCTACAAGGGGATTTTGGACGAAAAAAAAAAATAGTCAAAACATACTCCAGACACTAAAAAAATAGTCCCCCGATTATTTTTCTACTATGTTTGGCTACTCCTCCTGTAGAGGGACAAGCCCGACTTAAGACAGGGCCCGCCGCTTCTATAGGGAGCGGGGGTGCTTCTGAGCAGCCTTCACGCCTTCCCCCCTGCCCCCCCCTCTGCGCGTGGCCGAGAGGCGGCACGAGTCGCAGCACGAACCGCTAACCAGCAAATGACCAGCCTTGAACGTATCCCTATCCCTGAGATTCCCAGGCCCAAAGTCGACGCCAATCTTGGGGATGCGCCCTCAGAAACGGAGGGGATCCCTGAGATCGGCATCGATCTGAGATGAGGCGATGCCAATCATAGGGATAGAGATCTGTTCCAGGCTGGTGAACAGATTAAAACCCCTGAGTGCAGACACTGCTGGGGGAACGACACGGGAGAAAACCACCGCCTTGGCGGGGCAAGCACCGACCGGAACGGACCAGACCACGACCCGACTGGAACCTCCCGGATCGTAGAGCCGACCACAAAGCAGCCCCGAGCTCGGCTTGAGCTTCGTGCATCTGCATGAATCATAGCCTGAACTGCATGGCCGAACAACAGGAGAGGGAGGTCGCTGCCGTCGCCCGGCCCGGTCCCAGTTCATCTTGAGCAGCTTATGAAAGTACCCGATGTCAGCCAAGTACCTTCAATATGAGGAGGAGACGAGGGAGGGGGGAGGACAGTGGTCAGGACGAGGACGAAGACGAGGAGCAGGAGGAGGACGACAGCGAGGACGGGCAGGAGGGAGGAGGATGAAGCGGAGGGGGACGAGGAGCTCCGCGAGACAGAATCCACGCCACTCCAGCGACAAAGAGGGCTGCAAGCGGAGGAACCAATACGAACATATTCTTTTCCACTCCGGCGGGGGGAAACTTTCCCGCCAGAGAGGTGAACGCATGGAAAGGTACATTCAGGACGTGGTGGGGCACTCCATTCGTGGGGTCGGAGTAGATGGGGTCGGAGGGTCGCGCCGCATCGCTGATACATCGGCAATGCATCGGCGATGCATAGGCGATGCATCCGCGATGTGCGGGCGATGCATCGCTCACGTCGGCGATGCATCGGCGACGTCGACGTGAAGGAAATCGGGCTGCACATCGAGCTGCATCGGCGATGCATCGGCGATGCGGCGCGATCCTCCGACCCCATCTGCTCCGACCCCATCTGCGTAGGAGGCCCAGATCCATGGCCCCGCCAGGAGGACAAGGGCACCGACGCTGCCCGGAGGCGCCGCGCCCGTCCGGCGCCTGACTGCCCAAAACGCAGCCGCCGGCTAGCTGCACGGGCCCGCCGCGCCTCCCACTCCGCCGCGCTCCGCGGCGCCCGGCGCCCCCGGGCAGCAGGGGGTCGGTGCACGCCGTGCCTGCGCGGCCTGGCCCACCTCCCGGTGCACGCGCGCCGGCCATAGCTGCGCGGGCCCACCAGGGCACTCTCGCCCCGCGGGCGGGCCTCGCCCCGCGCCTCACCGCGCGCCAAGGCCGCACAGGCAGCGCCACGCGACCTCCCGGGTGCGCCACGGGCGGCCTCCGCGGCTGCTCGGCCCAGCGCCGCTGACGTCCAGGACGCGGCGGGCGGCCGCCCGCCCTGGGCAGCGGCCCGCCTCCGGCGCGCGGAGCGCCGCAGCGCGGCGGCCGCCGCGGCGACCCTCCCCGCCGCCGCCCCGCCGGCGCCCGGGGTCGCACCGCCCGCACAGCTCCGGCGCGAGCTCGAGCAGCAGCGGCGGAAGCGCAGGGACCGGCAGCTGCCCCACGTCTGGCCGCAGGCCGTGCGACGCACGCGCCCGCTCGGCGAAGCCGAAGCCTGCGATGCACTCCAGTGCGAGCTCGGCGCTCCTCCTCGGCCGGCGCACGCCTCCCCAGCAGTCTCCAGAGGGCAGTTCGTCCTCCCGCTCGCGCCCTGGCCGGCAAGGCGGTCTGCAGCGGCTGCTCCCGGTGGTTCCCACGTCGTCGCCGCGGTCCGCTGCGCCGTCGCCTTCTGGAACAGAAGCCCCCTGCAGGTGTGGTGCGGGGGAGAAGCGGTGAGGCGGTGACGGGATCGATGCAGCGCCAGTGCCCCTTCCCCCCACACCTTTAGGTGCAGTGTGGGTGGCGGCGAGGGGAGGGGGGCGAGGAGCTCGATCTGGTGCCGGTGCCGTCGACGATCGCACGTACGAATGAATCATGATAACGCTCCTCCTCCTCCTCCCCCCCTGCCCCTTCCCCCTCCTCGTGCCTCTGCCTGTTTCAACCGCTCTCACGACCATCAACACGATTGCCGCCATGACCATCACCACCCGTAGTTGTTTGAGCCGACTGGCATCTCAGCAGTTTTTTTTTGACAGGACCTCGGGATGAGTAAACAAGGCGCAAGCTCCCGCCACAGGCTACCTCCTTTGAGGTCCGCGGCGGCAGTCAGTCGGTGCCCTCGGGTGCGGTTGGGGAGCGGAGAGCTGGCAGTAAGGAGGAGCAGGAGCATCAGCAACAGCAGGTGCGACCCAGAACACCCCTCTGGGCCCGCAGAGCTTGCTGCCGCTCCTCCGGGGCAGCCAGAGCCCCAGTCACATGTGCACATGCGGGGGAGGGGAACCCGAGGCCCACCTCACCTGCAGGGGGACGTCGGGCCCCTCGACCCTGGATCGGAGATCCTTGATGCTATTGTTGTGCCATTCCTCGTAAAATTTGACTCTCAAGCGAGCGACTTGGTGTTGGAGCTCTCCGTCGCCCAACTGTGCGCGAAGGTAATCGCAATGTCCGGTTTCCTTCCGGTCGCAAGTTATGAAGAATTGACCATCGATTTCCAAATGCTGAGAACCTTTCGCCTCGCCCTCCATCCGTATAGTTGCTGGGGATTTCCAGTTGTCGGACCAAAATTAAGGCAAAAAGTTCAGACCGCCATGTCGATATGTTTGTTGGTGCGACGGGGAAGCGCCACTTGCAAGCAATCGGGACGAAGGAGGGAGAGGGGAGGACGGAGGAGGAGAAGGAGGCGGAGAAGGGGCAAGAGGAGGCGAATGAGGGGTCGAAGGAGGAAGTGGAGTATGGGGAGAAGGACGAGAAGGAGGACGAGGAGGAGGAGGAAGAGGAGGAGGAGGGGAGGAGGAGGACGGAGGGGCGGCGAGTCAAGCGCAGGCGGAGCATGAGAAAAGATAAGGAAAGGAGGGGAGGAACGAGGGCGAAGGCCGGGCGTCCAAAACCGGCCGGCCTGTTGGGGGGAGGTGCTCTGCACTTGAGGCCTGAGTCAGGCCCCTCGCGCAGAGTACCCACGCGGGCCAGGCCTGGAGACGCGGCGAAGGGAGGGGGGGCACGGGAAGGAAGGGGAGAGGCGGAATGGCTATTCCCCGGGACGCCCCAGAAGGCGCTGAACCACCCCAGAACTGCCTAAGACCCCCATCATGTGCCCTCATGCCGCCTCCTCCTCTTCCGCCTTCCTCCCCCCCTCCCACTCCCGCGACGTTCCTCCCTCCTCCGACCTCTCCTCCTGTCCAAACGTGCTCCGCCCTATTCCTCCCTCGTCCTCCTCCCCCTCCTCCTCCTCCTCCTCCTCCCCCTCCTCCTCCTCCTCCTCCTCCTCCTCCTCCTCCTCCTCCTCCTCCTCCTTGACCTGCACGTCCTCTCCCTCCTCCTTCTTCTCCTCCGTCACCCTCCCGGAAGAGAGGGGTGGGCACGCGATCCAGCACAGCACCGGAAAGAACATGAAGGTCATGAGGCCCTCCCACCACTCGACGACGTCAGGCGATCTCCCCGGCGGAGGGGCGGCGGAGGACTGTCGTCTACGGGCTGGGCGCTAAGCAGTGCACTCTGGGCCTCGTCGGCACCATCTTCGTCCGTGGAGGAGGAAAGAAAGGAGGAGGAGGAGGAAGAGGAGCAGGAGGAGGCGGAGGAAGACGAGGAGGAGGAGGAGGAGGAGAAGGAGGAGGAGGGAGGGGAGGAGAAGAAGGAGGAAGGAGGAGGAGAAGAGGGAGAGGAAGGAGGAGGAGAGGAGGAGGAGGAGGAGGAGGAGGAGGAGGAGGAGGAGAGGAGGAGGAGGAGGGAGGAGGAGGAGGAGGAGGAGGAGGAGGAGGAGGAGGAGGGAGGAGGAGGAGGAGGGGAGGAGGAGGAGGGAGGAGGAGGAGGAGGAGAGGAGGAGGAGGAGGAGGGAGGAGGAGGGAGGAGGAGGAGGAGGAGGAGGAGGAGGAGGGGGGAGGAGAGGAGGAGGAGGAGGAGGAGGAGGAGGAGGGGAGGGAGGAGGAGGGGAGGGAGGAGGAGGAGGAGGAAGAGGAGGAGGAGGAGGAGAGAGGAGGAGGAGCAGGAGGAGGAGGAGGAGGAGAGTGAGGAGGAGGTGGGGAGGAGGAGGAGGGAGGAGGTGAGGATGAGGGGGAGGAGGGAGCAGGAGGAGGAAGGAGAATAGACTATTGGAAAAGGAGGAGGCGGGAGGAGGAGGAGGAAAGAGGAAGGAGGGAGGAGGGGGAGGAGGAGGAGGGGGAGGAGGGGGAGGAGAGGAGGAGGAGGAGGAGGGAGGAGGAGGAGGAGGAGGAGGAGGAGGAGGCGGAGGAGGAGGAGGAGCGCACGCAACCCGATCGGATGGATTCGCTAATATGGAGGGCGGCGCGCGCCGCTGCACTCGCATCGCACAAAAGCGCGGGGGGGCGCGCTCTCGTGCGCTAGGAGCAAGAAGCGCGCGGCAGAACCAGACGCAAACCCAAATTCTCGATGCCCGCCCTCTTCGTTTTGAATCGTCCCCCCTTGGGGGTATATATTTTCCTAACCTGCAGCGTATGCTTCGTGCAGCTCCGGAGGCAGGGGAAGAGGGGACGTATGGAAGGAAGGGGCAAGGGAACGGGAGGATGGAACACAAAAGAATAGCAGGAGGGGGGCTAAGAGCCGAAAACAATTGGTAGAACCAGACGGGCAGATAGGGTGGGTGGCCCTAACGGGCGGGTCGGGAAGGCGGGCCCAAGTGGCCAGGTCGAGCAGGCGGGTGGCTGAAGCGCGCGACCTGTATCACTCGCGAAGAAGTCCCCAGAGATAGCGCGAGTCCCAAGTAAATCGTTAGAAAAACCACAGCGAGAGCGTGATTCCTGAGTGTCGAAGGCGCGGCATGTGAATACATTGTGAAGAAATCCCACACGGTAGCGCGATTCTGGTGTGAATTGTGAGGACGCCCCGCGCGAATGCGCGAATCTGGAATACATGCTGAAGAAATATCAGACGGGAGCCTTTGTTGTTGAACTCTCACTTCTGAAGAGTAATTATTGTTGATCCCCCCGTACGGTGCACATTGTTTTTTCGATTGAAGTGCCCTTCCCGGGGCTCGCACCCTGTCTTTTTTATCAAAAAGAATTGAAGGTCAAACTGTGTTGTTGGCCCCTGGTTTACAACGACAGCGGCTTCCGCGAGATACTTTCTCACAATTTATAAAAGAATCGCGCTCTCGCTTGGGGCGTCCTTGCAATTTACCACCGGATCGCGGCTTCCGCTTGATAGTTTCTTACAATTTATAAAAGAATCGCGCTCTCGCTTGGGGCGTCCTTGCAACTTACCACCGAATCGCGGCTCCCGCCGGATGTTTCCTTGCAATCCCACCAGCCCTTTGGGCGTGAGTGGTTTAGAGAGCCCGCTCTGTTCTCAACCCCCCTTCTTCCCCTTCGGGGAGGGGTTTACCCCTCCCCCTACCCCCTCCCCCTGGA